GGCCCCAAGTTCCCGCCGCCCCGGCCACCGCGGCCTCGCGTACCCCGCATCTGAGAGAGTCCTCTGCGCCTCTGGCCTTCCGGCAGACCGGCGAGCATCCCCTCGCTCGGTGCCCGGGCCCGGCCGTGCCTACCTAGTCCTCGGACCGGTTCCCATCGCCTCCCGCCGCCAGTCCCGAGTTCATCTAAGCAAATGGCTCAGCCCTGAACCGACGCGGCCTAAATAAAGTCGCAGCCTCCAAAAGGGTGGGGACGGGCGGGAGGAAGGACAGAGAGGTCGGGTTCTCGGCTGGGGTCCTGCCCTCCTCACCTGAGGCGAGGGCGGAGGGGAGCCTCGGGGCCGAATGGGGTCAAGTGAAGTCCAACTTTCCCTGACGCACCTCGCGGGATCAAAGAGGGGCGTTGCCGCGCTCACTCGGGCCACTTCCTCCCTGGGGTATCTCCTCTCGGACGCAAGCTCAGGACCAGTGCTCTTTGGGCTGTTTTAGTGCAGGGGGTGTTTCCTATAAAGGAACCCCTACTCTCAGCTTTTCCCTTATGGTCAGTGGAACCTGTGACCAGCGATTCCTTCCTGCCCTTTCCCTCTGGGAAAGCGGTTCAGGGGGCCCTGGAACCTGGCCGGACCCCTCCCTGGGGTTTGGATCACAGATAGGTCTGGGGGCGCAGGCATCAACCTGAGCGGGCGATGAATACCGCGATGAATACGCGCGCAAACCCCCACTCCACCCTATAATCCGTCACCTCCGGGATTAGGCCAGCTCAGATGCCGACCTTCTCACAGGACCCAGCAAAACAAATGTCAGTGATTTAAAACCCCAGTTTTAGCTTTCAAGACTGAGTCTCTCTGCCAGGAGACAGAAGCAGCTCTGAGACAAGGAAAACGCTAGGCCTCCTGGAAGAATCAGGTTTGCGGTTGGTTAGGGAGTTAAGACTGACTTATCTGGAGACTTTTCAGTCAGGACTGGAGACAACTTCTGCCTTGCTTTATTCAACAGCGTAGCTCAGCTACCTATGTATAATTTTTTTTTTTTTTTTTTTTTGGTACGGGGATCGAACTTGGGAACTTGTGCTTGCTAGGCATGTGGCAGAACCACTGAGCTAACTATTGCCTGCTTCGCAAGTGCAAGGGCCAGAGTTCAATCCCCGATACCCCAAAACAAAACAAAACAAAAAAACCATTGAGCTAAATCCCTGGCCCTATGTATAAAATCTTAATCTCCCTCCTCTTCCCTTCTTCCATGTGTTATCTACCCGAAGAGTTCCTCTGTCCTGTAGGGTTTTAAAACACTTATTTATTTTTTGGTACTGGGGATTGAACTCAGGACCTTGTGCTTTCCAGGCAGGTGCAGTGCCTCTGAGCTAAATCCCTGGCCCTGGTGTTTTTTATTTTTAATTGAAATATACCAGATGTACAACAGTGTGCCTGCATGTTCAGATTAACAAATTATAACAGCAAACAGACCCATACAGCCACTGTCCGTATCAGGAATTAGGTCATTACCAGCACCCCAGAATCTCTTCTATCTCTACCTCATCCCTATTTTTAAAGATGACCTTTGCCTAACAGTATAGATGGGGTTTTGCCTTTCTGCCTTTGAATTTTATGTAAGTGGAATGATTTGGTAGGTATTACTTTGTGTCTGGTTTCTCTTATTCAATATTATATTTGCGAAACTCACCCATAATGTGTGGTAGCAGTTCATTCACTTTGCAGTTATTGTATATTATGCCATTAAGTGAATATACTACAATTTATCTGTTGTTCTGTTGATGGTCATTTGGGTTGTTCCAATTTGGGAGTCATCACATGAGGTGCATGAGGCTGCTATAACTTTTTTTTTTTTTTTTTTTTTTTTTTTTTTGGTATGAGGGATTGAACTGAGGACTTTGCACTTGTGAGACAGGCAGTGGATCTGAGCTAAATCCATGGCCCTATAACATTTTTAATTCATGTCTTTTGGTGTACTTTTTTAAAAAAAAAGTATCAATGATTGAACCCAAAGCCATCCCACTGAGTGTTATTGGTAGCTGTTTTCAGTTTTTATTTTGAGACAGGGTCTTGCTAAATTACCCAGTCTGGACTGGAACTTGGGATCTTCCTGCCTCATCCAGAGTACTGGGATTACAAGCGTGAACCATCCTGCCTGGCTCATACTTCTATTGGAAATATATGTGGGATGCTGGGTGTGGTGGTGCATGCCTATAATTCCAGTACCTGGAAGGTCGAGGCAGGAGAAATCTCTGAGTTCAAGGCCAGCCTGGGCTAAATAGTAAGTTTAAGGCCATGTAGCGAGACTCTGTGTCAAAAACAAAAACAAAACAAAAAAGAAACAGGAAATATGTGTAGGAACAAATTCCTGGGTCATAGTGTAGGCAAAGGCTTATCTTTAGTAGATGTTATTAAACCGTTTTCCAGTTTGCTTGCATTAATTTACACTCTGGCCAGCAGAGTCTTAGAGTTCCAGTTGCTCCATATCCTTAGCAACACTCAACACCCTGTATTGTCAGTCTAAAAAGAGTAGAAGTTGAGCCATTCTAGAGGATGCAGAGTAGCATTTCATTGTGATTGAGCACGTTTTCATACATTGACTTGCTGCTGTTTGAGTATTGTGTCAATTTTCTATTAGACTTTATCTTACTGCTTTGCAGTAATTCTTTATATATTTCATATAGGAGTCTTTTGTCAGTTCTAGGTGTTGCAAATATTTCTATGAGTGTATAAATATGGAAGATCTTATGTTGGGGTCTTCTGAAGGATCTAGGCCACTGCAACAACACTGTAATCTGTGCTGCGTGTGTATGTGTGTGTGTGTGTGTGTTCGTGTGTGTGCGCGTGTGTTACTGAGGATTGCACCCAGTGGCACTCTGTCACAGAGCTACATCTCCAGCCTCTCTCATTTTATTTTGATTTTTATTTTGAGACAGGGTCTCATTAACTTGCCCAGGCTGGTCTTGAACTTGCAGTCTTGCTTCAGCCTCCCCAGCGCTGGAATTGTAGACTTGTACCACCCTGCCTGGCTATAATCTGTATATTTTGCTCGCTGATGTGTCCCTGGCTCCTGGCACATATTAGGAACTCAGCAAATGTGTTACAAGAATGATGCGTGAGATAGGTGAGACTCATGCAGGTAGTGTCCCCTATGTGGTGTTGACCCTCAGTGTCAAACACTGAGAGATCCTGGAGCAAGCAGATTTCCTTCTAGCCGGCTTGGCTGTAACCTTGGGAAGGGGAAGACGTCCCAGCCTTTTTCTATGAAAAGAGTAGAAATAGCTACAGTTTGTGAACAGAGCAGCACAGATGTGGGAAGCAGAGGTCACAGATGAAGAGGCAGGAAGTAGCAGCAGGTATCAAGGCAGCCAGACACTTCAGAAGGAAAGTCTCGGTTGGGGGTGTCTACGTCTGTGAGCATCGTGCGGACCTTTGTACGACAAGAAGATCCAAAGGTCACACGGTCCTCATCCTGCCTCAAGACATGTCCTTCTTAAAGTTCACGGCTTGGAGCTCTTCTACACTTAGAAACATGTTTCCCTCTCAGGGAGAACTCCTGATACTTCAGTCACAGCGTCTTTTCCTACCTTTCACTAGGAACATCTTTTTTTCTCCCAGATGCACCATGAACTTTCTCATGGCCTGTAATGTCCGCCCTGAAGATGGAAGGCCATTAGGTCACTGTCAGTGCCTTATTTTCCATGAAGACTTTGCCTAGGCCTGTTGCATTCTACAGCACGTTTTGTTTGCTGTCTTTGTCCGCGGTGTCTTCCCCACCTCCTTCAGTTACAGTGCTTGGAGCAGGTTGGATCAGGAGTCTCTGATAGTCATTACTACAGGGGAGAGATTACCCCCTTGCCTGACCCTATCAAACTCACAGGATCCGCTCCCCAGCTCCCAGAATGCAGTGTGGCTAACCGTTGCTCCAGAAATTTCTGAATAAGATGAGGTTGGGCTAGCAGCCTAGCTGGAGAGAAGCTGGATGACTTGTCATCGGGTGACATCTGAATAGCGAGGGCAGAGTTTTCACTTAGAATGTGGATCTTTTGTGGTGGTGGAGGTGACTGTGGGAACAGAGCTGTTGATCATGACTAGGGGTTTGTGGGAGCTGGCGAGGGCAGGCTTCTAGAGGCAGTCTTCTCCAGCCTTGCTTAGCACTGTCCTGATACACAGGTCGTTAAACCTCTATCCTGATGTTCTCTGGGTCCATGGCCTTCCTTCAAGGACAGCTTCTCCATGGATGACCTGGGCACGCATCCCAAAACCCCATAAGATTCCAGAGCTGCGTAGATCCGAGACACCCTCACTAGCATGGCCGAGTCACAAGACTAGCCCTATGTGGCTGGAAACTTTTCTGGCATTTGTTTTGCTGGGAAAGGGTACCCCCCTCCCATTTTTCCCCTTGCCGTAACCCCTCCCCTGCAGTCTCCCTCCCAGAGGTCAACTTCTTTCCGCTGCGCAGAGCTGAGGTGATATCCCCTTCCGGCTTCATTCAGCTCTAGGAGGATGTGGTGATGGGGTGGGGAGGAGGGGACAGGGAAGTGTGGCCATCTGGGCACAGAGCTAGTTGCTGTCACCACCCCCCAGGCTGTCCTCCAGCTGAGCTCCCATTTCCCGATGCCCCCTGTATACCCACCCACCCTGGGATTCGTGTAGGCAGGGTGATTCCAGGTGTTTCAGAGCTGTAGTTCTGAAATTACTGGGCAGAGCTGGGAAGACTTCGTAGCCAGCACACAGTCCGGTGAACTGTGACCAGGGATGGAGGAGAAGTGATCTTTGAGAGGCGGTTCTGCAAGGGGAATGTGTCACAGTGGTATAATCACGGGGCTGAGTTCACGCTCAGCTGTGTATTAGGTATGCGACCTTGGGCAAGCTCTGGTCTCCAAATCATATTTATAAAGGGGAGACATAAAAAATACTAAAGGGGAGACATGACAGGCTGGGAGGATTAACAATAAAATAGGACTTGGATAGTTCTTTGCATACACTAGGACTGTTATGACTTCACCAAAGAGGAAAAGCCACAAACAGGGCTTAGGCATCTGGAAGGGGCTTTGAATGGGCTTGAATGGGAAGGGTTAGAGGGACAGCCGGGCACGTGGGCAGGGGATTAATCAAGACAGCATCTCGGTCTGGTCATAACCCAGAGATGAGTCAGCCTTATTTTGTGAGAGCGAGGATGCAAGAAGT